CTTTGTGTGAGATTATATGTGAATATTCTTTGGAAGAGTCTTTGAAAGAAGGCATGGTTTGTGTGGGAAGATATGTGAGTTTTCTGTGGAAGAGCCTTTGAAAAAAGGCATGTTTTGGTGAGAGGATATGTGAACCTTTGTGAAAGAAGACATGTGGGTGAGAGGATAAAAAGAGTTATTGAAAAGACATGTTTTGTGCGAGATGATATGTGAGTCTTTGTGGAAGAGTCAGGGTTACAGTGATTCATAAAAGTACAGCAAGAGACAGTAAATATCATGTAAAACCACCATTCACTTTCCTTGGCAACTCTTTCACATATGCTGCCTTTGTTTCGTTGAAAGAAGGCATGTAAAAAGGCATGTGTTGGGTGAGAGGGTGTGTGAATTGTTTGTGGAAGAGTCTTTGAAACAAGGCATGGTTTGTGTGGGAAGATATGTGAGTTATCCGTGGAAGAGCCTTTGAAAGAAGGCATGGTTTGTGTGGGAAGATATGTGAATTATTTGTGGAAGAGCCTTTGAAAGAAGGCATGGGTCACGTCCAAGGCGTTTTTCTTCAATGAGGCAAACCTCCTTCCTCTGGTCTCCCTGTGTGCAAATCCGAGCTGTTCTTCCTGCCTGCTTCCGCGGTCAAAGCACATCTGAACCAAGCCCAAACCTGGGTACCTGGGGGGGGGGGGTAGCATATATATATATATACACGAGGCAACTTGACTTTATTGCATTTTAAATCCTTTCAGAACGATAGGGGATTGACAAAAAACGATCCCCCTGTGAACATGTAACATGAAACAGGAGCTTATGGTCGGAATTCCGAGGAAGCCGCAATTCGCTCCGGTTTTTTGTTCCTGTAGACCTCCTCGGTTGCCAATAAGACGCGACGTGCGCCTTCCGAGACGAAGCAAGCCCAGTGGTCCTGGAGCCATTGATGGCTGTGGGAGCCTCAGACCCGACTGGCGGCGGCCTTTGACTGGCTCATCGATGGCGCCATCGAGTTATTCAGTGAGTGAGTTCTGCCTAGGTAAGTGTTGCCATTTCCTGCCGGGCAGTGAACTGAATGACCAACCAATTGCCAAAAGAAGGCCCTTGGGTTTCCAAGACTGGCCACCTTGGGCTCCGAACCTTTGAGATGGACAAGCCTCAACACCAGAGGTGCTGTTTGCGAAGCCCCCAGTGGCACAGCACTTCCCTGTCAACCAGGTCCAGACAGGACGAAGATATCCTAGGCGTCCATACCTAGAATCCGGCTGTTCCGGCATGAGTTTGATCAAAAGTGGCCGGGCTTGCCATGATTTGCCTCAGTGAATCAGCAGAATGCCATACTTTTGGGGTGTAATGTAGCCATCTTACCAGCTGAAACGACGCCCAAAGCAGGCGGCCTAGCCTGGACTTGCTGAGTTTGTTCAGGTGGAGGTAACGTTCCCCTCGGAGTTCCAGCCTGCAACGCTACAGACGTGCCTGGCCTAGCCGATGGGTGTACTTAGGTGTGAGGGTCCGTAAAAGGCCTTCGTATTTTGAGCCCAGCTGCGTTTGATTTGGAGACTTCCCTTCAGTTGTGGTTTGGATTCCACGGGTTGGCCCTAAGTTTAGACAGCTAAACGGGATAGCAGTGTGAAGTATTATTGGTGGAATTGCCGGTAGTGCAGGTTTCCTTCTGAGGTCGCTAGCACAGTCTATGCTTGTTTGTGTTTGCGCAAATGCGCAGAAGGGCATACCCAGTCGAATGCAGAGGCTAGCTTGGCACAAGGGGGCATGAGTGTGCATTTGACGTGGGATGGCTGCATCTACCTGCTCGGAGGGAAGTTTTCCCTTACATCCAAGTCTGGTTGCGATTGCATGCAGTGTGCAAAGCCAAAGGGGAAATGCACATTGGTCACTGCAACCGTGCTTGAAGCGCCAGCTTGTCCTGCAAATGTTGGCTTGCCCGGAAAGCAAGAGGCTTTGGAACCATGCCATCCAAGATTTGCTATGCAGGGATCATAAGCTTTTCTGACACAAGGAGTGCCCAGCGCCAACTCGCAGAGAGCTTGGTGTTTACCAGGTGCCAAACTAGCGCCAAGAAATCCCCCGTGCAAGGTTGAACAACCGCGAAGGTGCCATTCAGGCTACGAAGGCTCGCTGCCATATGCCAGTTCTTGCGCAGCAGCACATTTCGGGTGCTTGTCGGCCTTCATATTCGAGTGCTTCCTGAAATAGGCACCCGCTCATTTTTTGGCAGTATTTGGGTTTCGCTTCCAACACCCTCCAGAATGGGGCTCGTTCCCAATCTTGAGACGCCACATGGCCTTTCGCACACGGGCACGCGCAAATCGCAGGCGGTGTCCGCAGACACCACCTTAGTTGAGGCGGGGCCAGCGCTTTGCAACCCCAAGCAGAACGAAAGGAATGTCTCATGCAACAAAAGTATTGTTTCATTTCGTTGGTCAAGTGCCAACCGCACGTGCTTTTGCTTACAGGAAGCTTTCCTGTGGGAGCTTTGGCTTTTAGATCCTTCCGCCCTAGATCCTTCCGCCCTTCTTCGACGCAAGGCTGTGGTGCCTTTGCGGCGCATGCGGTGCAGCCCAGTGGTTTGTGGGAGGCATTCGTCATGGGATCGCTTCATCGCTTGGGCTGCTCTTGCGTTCAAGCCCATGCTATACATGTCACTCAAGAATGCCGGGGTGTGTGCTTATATCTTTTTCACAGAGGACCTGGAGGTTTGGCGATTGGCGCACGTCTCGCTTGAACGGTTCTTGCGCTGGTCAACCAATAGCAGACTGTATTGCAGTATGAGTCAAGAAGAGGAGGCAATTGATCAGTTCTCAAAGGAGAAAGCAAAGTCTCATGCATGCTTGGCATACAGTTGGCAGAAGGCCACAAACTTTGCTAAATCAATATGTGTGCTTTTCAGCTGCAGTATCAGCTACCTGGATATCCGAGTAATTTCTTCTTGGACGTAACCTGGCCGACAGTGCCTGTTGTGCCTTGAGCCTTCACCCCCGATATGTTTGCTTGCACCGAGGTTTGGCTACTCCTCAGATTTGCGGTCAGTGACGCAAGGAACCGAGCTGGGTCCAAGGGGCGGCCATTTGCGAATGTGTTGAACACTGACCGCTGCATTTGGATACTTGGGCCAAAAGGACGCTGACGTATCTATATATATGTATATATATATATATAGGTATATATATACATATATATATGTATATATATATATGTATGTATATATGTATGTATGTATATATATATGTATATGTCTATGTAGCTCATTCAGACACAGCTCATTGGTTGTTGGCTGCTCTCTGTATATGAGGTTGGACAAGGACTTTGGACTGTGTACCGATTCAGCAGTCCCCGCAGTACAGGGGCTGCCAGGCTGATTATGCTGGCCTTTGGGAATTGTTAGCGACTTTTTTATTGGGTATTATGAGAACGACGTTCTTGCCAACGTCTAAAGCTTGCTCCTAGTTGTTTCTGGATCCATTTCTGCCATGACCATGAAACAGACGACTGCACGATCGACGTGGAACAGATGCCCCGGTAATTGTTTCAACGTTGTGCGTGATGAATATATATATATGTATATATGCATATGCATATATATATATGTATGTCTATATAATTGTAATATATAGTATACAGATATACATACACATGTACACAATATAAAGTTGACGTGTAGGGTGTACGCATAGACTTTGTCGCAAGGTCTTTGTACTGAGATATGAAACGAAGGCCACTAGGTCTTACGTGTTGCCCGCAAAAGCTTCCTGCTGGTCCTGGCGAGAGTTTGATTTGGTTGGCAATTAATTGTTTAGCATCATAGCTTTTTGGCGAAGATGACATTTCCCGGAACAAAGTATGTCAGACAACGGCCATACACATACATTTATATATATATATATACACGCGCAGTATAAAACATGCAAATGTCATATGTGGAGAGCAGCCAGTTGATTGCTTCTCTGCCTTTGGCAGGTGGTCGGGTGTTCGCTGGATTGGATACACATCGGGACTGCCAGGACAAGGAGAGTTCTCGATGGAGTTCAAAGAGTACTCAGAGATGCCCCAGGCCAAGCAAGAGGACGGGAAAGCCAGCGACCAACCACTTGCCTGAGATGAGTAAGCAACTAGAAAGTCGGGTTTGCCAATCTCCGGTTGTTCAAGAAGGCTGCAAGAGTATGAAGTGCAGCTTGCACGTGCGCTCAAGACTTGCTTGTTGTTGGCTGTTTTTTGCCGCCGAATCCAAGTGCACGAGACCCACAAGTTCAGCAGCGATGTTCGGATACAAAGCACTGACATTTGATGCATCCCACACCGCTTTGTTGTTTGTTGAAGTGCACGTAATACGTGGAATGCGTGATCCTGCCTCCAGAAAGCAGCTTCCGACGACCGTTTAAAAAAAGCTTTAGGTTGGATTGACTTTGCATTATACTCAGTTTTCTATTCTTCCTGGATAGACCACTCCTACCTGCTGAGTTATGCTGAAAGGCCAGTGGTTCAGTAGCGCGGCAAGCACCTTCAGGAGCTAATCACGGAGTTGCGGAAGAGAGCCAGAGAGGTCCACCGGAGCGGGAAGTGACCACCCTGAAAAACCATCCCTTGATCCATGTCGCATTTGACGATGATGTGCCCAATGTAAGAATTTCCGTTGGCTTGCGGTTCTCAGTGTTCTTTCATTTGCTGCAGGGACAGACTGCTGCTTGGCACCGCTTGGTGTGGGGATCAAATGGAAAAGGCCTGAACTTTCAGATGATTTGGCCGTGAGATCAAGAACTGTGTTTAATCAGCAAACCAAAGGACTACGGTTTTGCATTCACCTGCTGCAAGCCTTTGTCATTCATTCTGCAAAGCTTGCGAGGCGCAGTGAGTCCTGCTGAGAGTGCCAGAATTGTTTCGGAGCGCAGGGTGAGCAAAAGTCGGTGCTCGTGTTTTCATGAAACCCAATATGTTTCTTTGCACGTCCGCTGCATGCCGCTTTCTCGTGGCTCATACGACTCTCGATCAAAGCTGGATTCCACGGAAGCGTGCCAAAGAGGCCTGGTTTTGAGGTGAGGCCTGTCCAAAGCATTGCAGGGCAGATGGCTGTTCCCCTTGGTGCGCTCTCCCGTCAATCAGCGAAAACTGCTGATCGTTTCCAAAGCGCTGGCAGCGAAGCTCGTCGGGGGGCGTGCGGTCAGGGCTGTCCGGAGGCCGCTAGGCGTTTGTCCTGCGGGGCGCCGCAGCCCTCAAGTCGCATGCATTGCGTCCGGTTCTGATTCCCCAAAACGCAAGCCATCCGAAGTTTGGATAGCACCCTGGAAGAATGTCAAGGGAGGTATTACTCTCATGAGATATGTCACATAGCGAGGCCGGGCGCGGAAGGTCCAGCAGCTTTTGGAGTTGCGACCAAATGGCGGTGGTGTTGGCGCGTGATATTATTGGAAAACGATGCCATTCAGTCACACACGTGAGAGATACAGGACATGATTACATGAGAGGAGAGAACAGGCATGCCCTGCTTGAGCTGGACGAGCTAAGATTCCAAGATTTAGACTTGGCAGTTTTATGTCCAGAGCTATTGTAATTTTCTTTGCAGTGAGAGGCGGCAAAAGGAGGCACCAGCTGGTGGAATTGGTTATCAGAATTTCCTGGAGCCCCAAAGAGGAAAGGATGGAGCTGGAGTTCCTGGGGCTCCAGGTTGGGTTTCAGAGGATATGAGTTGAAGTGTTTCAATGCAGCTGGTTTTGGCGGTTGAATGTGTTGTGCTCAGCGAGCTCTGTAACCCAAGCAAGAAACATGGTTTTCCATGGACTAGCCACAAAGACATTGGCTATCTACAGCTATCTCGAGCTGCCTTTGTTACACAACCTGCATTTCATGAGTTCGTTCTTAGTTCTCAAGCACAGTCTTCCCGATAATGGTTTGGTATCGTTAGTTTTGCATCAAAAGGCAGCTTGTGGTGCTGCAAGTCACAAGGAGTGAGAGTTGCCCTCTGACATTTTCAGGCGAAACTCGGCCTCTCATCATTGGCTTGTAAGCCTTTGATTATCCCACTTCAGCCCCTCTGCGGCCGAACAAATGAGATGTGTGCAGAGCTCTGCTATGGCTAACCTCCCGCACTTTGAAGCACGAGACACTAACATTGCCAGATCCCAAGCGCCCAATCCCAGCAAGTGGTGCTGATGTCACACGTCCTGCCATGCCACAAGCCAAGCTATGGGATCACTGTTATGATCTTGAGCTTACACCTTGCTCCAAGGCATGCGAGCTTGACATTATGTATACAAGCATATATCTACACGCCAACATGTACATCAACACGTATGCAATTATACAACAAATACATACTTGTGTAGGCTCACAATCTCTCTTTCTCTCTCCTCTCTCTTTCTCTGTCTCTTTTGGGACCCCTTTTACTCTTTGGGCTGCATCTCGCTTTTCAGGAAGTATGTTTAATTTGGCATTTGTTGTTTTACATGGACGAAGCCTCAGTTCGTTATTTCACGGCCACTGTTTCCGCGGCCTGCCAATGACTTTTGTTGTTTGTGTTTGAACATTTACTAATTACTAGAAACACAGAGCCTGTCTCATGTTGGCAGCCTTTTCTCACCGGACTTTGCATGTTGGCCCAAGACGGACGGGGGTTCAACAGAAGACCTTCCAACATCGCTTCGCGGCTGCAAGGACCCGAAACGACTCCTCAACGAGGGGGCCTGCTTGGTCTCATTGGCCACCCCCATGACGGGAGCCGATTGAATTTCGATGTTTGCTTCGCAGAGGTTTGATTATTTTCAGGTTACCCCTTCTTGGTGGTTTGGATTGGTGGTTTGGGGATTTGAACCCTGGTTCTTGTGGAGGGTAGATGGGAAGCCCTCCAATCCAACTCACCAATCGGAAGGAAGCTGAAATTTGTTGTCACTCTGTCACTCCATCTTGATGACCAATGGCCACAACCAAAGAGCTCGAGCTGATTCGAGCGTGTCATTGGATGCCCAACGTCGCGGGTTGCCACGCTTATTCGATGCGCGCTCTCAGAACTAGTGTGTAGCTGTAGCTATCTACCCTCTTTGCCTGTGGTAAGTTGGCGCAAGGACTTGTATGTGAACAACTTGTTGCGCCATCGCGTCCATCCAAATTCTGCAAGGGTTGGATCGGGTTTGTTTGCACAGCTTGGCACATTGCACTGCCCTGCCAGGACGTTCATGTGCATTCGCAAGGACACTTGCCAGAATGCTGCAGCCATCAAGCGCTCGATCTCGGATGTTGACACAGACGTCTGCAACTCAGAAGACTGGCTGTTACTCGCCAGGCATCTCGCAGGATGACACGTTTCTCGAGATTGTTAGAATCACGCTTGGTTCATTTTGGTAAGACCACCCAATCTAACTCAAGGGTCACTTGGATGGACATGTCATTTTTAATCCCATTTCGTAGCCAGAATGTGTGTACGTGTGGGTGTGTTGCAGAGATTTTCTACAATGAGTGGCTTGGCTGTTTGAGCCGATTTCAAGTGGAAACTGAAGGAATGAAGCCATCTGACTTGCTGCGAGCGCTCTTGGGGGTAAAACGAGCATGCACATTGACCAAGGGCACTTCCTGGCAAAGTTGCATGTGAGGGTCATGGTTGGCAGCTAGCTCCGGTGTTTGCCATGTCGACTGCACACCTTCACACCGTCGGCCTGAGGCCACGTCCGAAGATCATGCGCCCAGTTTCTCCTGCCAGTGTCTTGGAGCGCACTTTGTTTGTTGTCTTCGCGAGGGATGCTCCCGCACGAGACGCCTTTGCATGGGACCTCTGTCAGAACCTTGTGGGTTGAAAAAAAGCGCAGTGAGAGGGAGGTCAGTTGCAACTTGAGGTATGCCAAACATGCCTCAAACTGCGGTCAAGTGAGCAGGCACATGGACAAAAAGCGTAGAAGGAGTATTGATGATTACATACAATTCGAGAGTTTCCAGGCAACAAATGTTCAAGTTGCTGTTTTCGTGGGCTAGTACGTATTTTGCCAGGTGTATTTGCAGAACAGTGGACCTGGCAATGAGCTTCAACTGCGAGAAAGTTGTTTGCTTTAAAGTGCACATTTCATGGACATGCCCAGCTGCGTGACTGAGTTTATTGGTGCAGAAGGCGCTGTGCATGGAGAGGACACGCTTGTGTGGTAATGTGTGTCCATTGTTTACCAATATGAGTGGCGTTCTTGCGCAGCTTTGGGTTGGAGGCTGCAAACAAGTCGGCATTTCAAGCTTGCCTCTGCCCAAAAAGCACACCTTTCGTTTGTGGACTTTGAGGGAGTCGCGCGGAGCAGAATGAAACTTCATTCACAGAGCCCAGAGCCAGGCCTTTGGCAGTGTGGCATGGCCATCCAATTGAGATAAGGCTCAGCGAGCATTTGCAATGAAACTTTGGTCTCACTTGGCTTTCCTGGTATGAACATGTATGAACATCTCAATCTATCTTGTGACCTACGTTCAATTGCCTTCCCCATAAATCTTATGGCTGGTTTCCGATCAGGCTCCCTGATCCCAGGTCCGGTTCTATTAGCTTCGACCCTCCTTTGCCACCGGAGCACAGCATCCTATCGAACTCGCTCGAGCGCACTTTGGCTGCACTCTGGGCGCCACTTGAGCGCGCCAGAGCGAGAACTGAATCGGCCCCCGTTCTTCTGGAGTGACTGATGGTGAGCGCGTTGCGCTCGACCACTTCTTTAAGTCTGGCCTTCATTTGATCGTTCTGGCGCGTCATCTTTGCGCAAAGGGGCATAGTGGATTTGCGCCCAGGCTTCTCATGTCCGCTATTCAGTGGTTGTTCATGCCTCGGAGTGGGTAGAAGCGCTTCGCGCATCCGTCACCTAAAGTTGTTCGGCGCAGTGCTACGGGGCTGCTGAGTGGCCAGCATCAGGTTAGCTTGAGGTTTGACGTTTCTGACACATCTTCTTTTTGGGAAACGTGTTTGCAAGTTCGAGTTGTTTTGTTCTCTTCAAGAGTCAGCCAAATATCAAAATCAACAAACATCCTGGGCACTCAATTGCAAAGTTGGCTCGTGAAACTCGAACACTTTCTATCAGGTCTTTGATTCCTGCAAGTATTGGTTGGCTGGGGGTCCCAAGCGACCGGCCTTTGAGGAAGCTTCCCCTTTGGACTCTGAGGGCTGAATGAACGGTCTACCTGAGACTCCTGCATCCTATGTTGTTCCAACTGGAAGCGCCCTAGCCAAACACATCCAGACACAGCAAGAGGGGAGCAACGTGTCGGATTGAGATCAACAAGCGAGTTCTCGCGTCTTAAAACTCGAAGTGGCTGGCGGCACTTCCATGCCAAGCTCAGGAGGTCAATTAGCACGCCCCTCGCCTGCATGGGAGAGGTTGCCTATGTCAATAGGCGTCCAAATTCCAACATGTGGTTGCTTTTTTAAATACAGGCAAAATGGGGTAATCTTTGGAAGCAACCTCATTTGGGCTCCCCAAGGTTAGCTTAGGCTTCAGAGGCACAGCCAAGACCTTTGTTGGGGTTTTCCACAACAGCAATGACCGCATGCGAAGCAGCGCGAGAAGAAGGAACAATACAAGCTTGGCCATTGGCTTGGTTGTTTTTATTGATATGTTTGTTTGTGTTTCAAATGTTAGTTTTGTCTTGGGGTGTCATAAGCTTAGACGTCTATTGCACCCTACAAATGGCCCAAATGGCAACGCGCAGACACACACCCACAACACAACACAATGACAACAATGTTTGTAAGGACTTGCCGAGCCAGAGGACAATGGCCGGATTCGTTCAAGTTTGGCATTGTTTGCTTCGGAAGCAGCCACATAAACACGGGGGAAAGGCAAGCACGAAATGGCGACCTCTCTTGGATCACAACTTCTTTTGTTTACCTTTCACTTGTTCCACAGACCGTCCAAGTGTGTCCCTTCCAAAACTGCCCTCGATAAGGAGTAAACAAAAGACTTGTTAGCTGAACAAACACAACAACGATGCGGCTGTTTGCCCGCCTCAGATCCACGCGCTGTTTGAATGTAACGGCTAAACTGTCCCAAAGCCTGCTTTGTGTACGAGCTGGAGCTGAACAAATATACTTGCGTAGTTGTGATTTCCGCGATGGAGCTGCAGCTGCCAAAGCATCCATGTTGTGTGTGTGTGTGCTCAATTTGTATTGAACGATCTCGAGTTCGAGGTTGAAAGTGCAGACAACACAAAACACCCCAAAACGATAAGGAGTGTAAAGAACCATGACCCAAAGAAGAGCCATAAGAACAACGAGGTTAGTTATATAACCTTAAGTGGAGGCGCCAAGTGTATGAGCAGGATTGTGGGGGCTATTTTGGATATGGTCTAAATGGACACACAACACACAGCACCCATTTGTGGCGGTCAGCTTGATCTTTTCGTGAGTCAAGACCCTTTTTGCGTTCCAAAGAGCGCTGGCCGATGGGCCTCGAGGCGACTTCTGCGACCTCCAACAGGTTGGCAAAGGTGGCTTTGGAAAGGCCGGGTTAAGCTGAAGCCTGCGGACAAATAACTGCCGAGGGGGGCAGGTACTCAGTCACTGGCCCTCGCACTTTGATGGTTTAGTCAGCTTTGGACGAGTCGGATTTGTTCAAACAAACCCAGCCCCCATGCTACTTGCTCGTGGTCTGCTGGAGCAGTTGCAGGTCGTGCGGGCGTGGCACCGTTCGGAGAAGAAGTGGGTGGCATTGAAGCTGATCCCTTTACAGCTGAAGGCCTCAGTGCCTCGCATAGAACAAGCCGGGTGTCGGGCTACGGGGCACCTCCCAAGGTTTCCTTTGAGTGGTTTTTTTCTTGAAATCCCGTTGCGTCCATGGGACAGTGGGACAGGAATAGGGGGAGAATACGGAAATTGTCTGCTTTGACTTTGAAACTGCCCAAGACCAAGAGGGGGGGCTCCCTGGTTTTGACAGACCCAAGTGTCCGGTGCAATTGACTTGTACCTTTAGGGCGGAGCACTGATGGGGCTGAGAACATGCCCCCTAAGAGGAACGTCGAGCTTTTAACAAATGGCAGAGCTGTCAGCCATGTGATAAACCAGAACTCCAGCTGGTTGAACTCCATATTAGTTCCCTTTTTAAAAACCGTCCACAGGGCGCCTTGGTTAGTTAGAGACACAGCCATGTCGCCGAGAGTGCGTTGACTACGTCATGTGAAGTTGTGGATCGCTGTTGCTGGTGTTTTGGTGCATATGTGTTGACTGTTAATCTCGTGTCTCCACATAGTGCTCCAAGCATGGCTTTCTTGTTCCTCGCTTTGGGTTGTCACCTGCTTTGTTCCCTCCGTTTTGAGCTACCCGTTCGCCTTCTGCTGTTAAGCTTCGGTTGGTTTTCCCCAAACTGGATGTTATTCTAGAAACATCTTGGAACATGAATAGTTCCAGATATTTCAGGATGGAGTGTCAAGGAAAACCAAGGGAAAACCCAGCTTTGATAGGTCGCCTAGGACCAGCCCTGATCTGAGGAGACAGTGGACGACAATCACACTCACTGGAGTGGGCCTGAAGTGTTCAAGCGCTTACAACAGATGCGAAGCTCGAAGGCCCGGCCGGGAGCCGTTCATTGCCTCCCCTGCTGGGTCTGGTTCTTGTCAGTCTTGGGAAGAAACTTGAAACATGCGGCGCAACAGGAAGAGTGGTGCGCTTTGGTCGTCAAGAACCGGTTTTTGCAACCAACATGAGAAAGCATTTAACACTTAGTCTTGGATCTGATCGCTGTTTCACATTGACTGCATGTTCACAAGGAAAGCACACCGAGCAAAGTTGTAGAGTCTCAGAGCAAGCCGGAGGGGAGGCTCTCGAGCAAGCATCCATATTTGTGAAACGTAGCTCCACGGAAGGCGCACACTGGCCTTTTGCATTGAGAATCTGAACCAATTTCAAGATATGTTCACACTCGCCCTACCTGCGTCAATGCAGGCATTTCTGGTCGTAAGTAATGCGCGACCGCCAACAACTCGCGAGCAACAACGCGACAAACAGCAAAACAAGCAACGATCGTTATACGTAACACGCACGCAGCACATAACAATCAAACTGCGCATTGCAAAACAACACAGCAGCAGCAGCAGCAGCAGCAGCAGCAGCAGCAGCAGCAGCAGCAGCAGGAATTTCTCAGCTTTGCAAGCTGTGCTGAAACTGAAGCTTGCTGGCTGCTTGTGAGTTAAGATGGCTGTTCATCATAGTTTCCTTGGACTGGAGCATGTTTGCTGCCAAGGGCTGTCAGATTCAGATTCCGGCCCATTTTGGACACGTCAACCATGATATGACTGATATTCGCTGATTGCTCAAATGATAACCCCCTGCTTGCCTGCGATTTTGCGCTGGAGCCGCCTTGGACGGCTGCAATAGCCGTTGTAGTAGACCTTGACAGGCAGCTTACGATGACTCAAGGCCCCTGTGTTGCCCAACTGAGTTGGGACGGTTTGTTTGTTGATCCAACATTTGGCCCCAGGTCAGCTGGCTCCTTACTAAAACGTCCCAGCCAAGATAGATTGCGGGATAGGCGTGTAAGTATTTGCGTGCGCTTTGCTCACATCTGAATGAACAGAGTTGCTCTCTCCGGTTTTCATTTCAGCCCTGATTTCTTCTTTGCGAGTCTTTTTTTCACCGCCCTTCTTTGATTTGATTGAGCGCGCCGAGGTTGTTCGCTACGCGCGGAGGTGGGCTGAGCTCCCACAAGACATGCCAAGTTCCTGGTGCCATCTCGTGCAGTCCCCGGGCAGCGCTCGCAGCTCGGCACCGAGGGGTCAGCTCTTGGGTCCGGATATGGCGCTGTCATTTGAGGGTACCCCCCTTTTCTTGTCGCATTGACAAAGAGACACCCATGGGTGCCGGAAGCCATCCTTCATGTTTGAAGCACGAGGGAAACCAACCCAGTGTGCCCTACCAAAATCCCAATGAGTTGCCTTGTGGGCAACCCAATCGGGCCTTCCGGAAGCCGGGGTAAGACACAAAGAGGTGTTGACCGCATATAGTACTAACGAAGAAGAGCCATGTGGCCCCAGAAACACATTGAGAGTTTCTAAGGTATCCTTTGGCAACTGGGACTTGTACTGTGGAGTTCCAGGATTTGGCCACAATCTTGACTCGGGCCGCTGTTGAGGTGGGTTTCCTTCTCAAATTGTGCGGGCCGGAACAAAAGCGGCGACTCATCTATCAGCCGTTCAACCTTAGGAGTCAATGTCAATCAGGAACAGGGACGGAAGGTTTAGCCTCGAATGAGCTTAAACCGTCGTCAGCCGAATTTATGTTTTGGCAGGCAAAAGGTCTTCAAGCACTTGCGTATTGGCTTCAGTGTCCGAACAGTCCTCCACGTGAGCCACAGTCAAAACTTAGGTGAGTAAATTTTAGGGGATAGTCGCAGCCAGAAATTGGTGCCGCCCTTTTGATTCGCTCGCAGTTTCGGTCCAGATGCCTCGAGGCACTCTTGAGCGCCGACCGTCGCAAGATCCGGAGACGCCAGCCCTAACCTCAGCGCACGTGGCCAAAAAGGAGTCCTTTGAAATTCCACCGCTCGGCAGTATGTTCCATGAGCGGTGGTTGTGTGGTTTAACCACAGAGGGCTCACCCTGCAAAAGAGCCACCAGAGGACGCGCAAACACCACACCGTAATTGAGCTTTGGCAAAGTGGCCCTTGTTGATTGTTGGGAGTTGTGGAAGTGGAAGGACTCACAAACAAGCACTTGTTTGCTAAAACATACGCACTGTAAGAAGCGGATTCTGAATTCAGCACTTACCTTGCAAACATCATTGGCTCAATTGCCTTGCACCATGTACCATGACTGTTTAGGCAGAAGAGCCACAGAACCAAATGTTGTGTCCAAATTGCAGGCCCCTTTGCTTCTGCCGTTTGGGGTCCCATCGCTTGTCAAAGCATGTCCAATCAAGAGTACCTGGACCCACAAAGATAGGGGACCCCACAAAATGATGGTTTTCCTTTTGGTGTCCCTTTAAAGGTACCCTCACCAAAGACACACCCATTCGCATTTTGGAGTTTTGAGCCCAAGGGACCCGAACATCGCTGCAGGTCTCCACCTTGAACTTGTCGCGTGGCCGCTGGGCCGGGAGGGGGTGTTAGAGTCCAGAGCCTCGTGGGGTGTTCTGATTGGTTTTTGTATCACAGGAGCTGCGGCTCATCTGCTATATATATATATGGTTCTTTCCTGAAGGGCCGATCAGTGGGCTGTGTGTTAGGTTACCAAACAAGCCTTGGATCGACTTGTTTCTCGGTTTTTTTTCCTGGTTGCAACTCGGATTCGAGGATGTCGTCTCGGATTGTGGCTGTGGTTGCTTCACCCGGGAAGCACCACACGAGCACGCCATGCTTGTTGCCCTCCGTTTTCAGGCAGGTTTAAAGAGAATTGATACCAACCACTTTGAGTTTACCGTGCTCAAGGGGTGATCATGGGATGGGTGACGAGTGCACGAAGTACTGGGAAGACTTCCGGTGGAATCCCCAACATGCGGGCACGAATTACTGGGAAGACTTCCGGTGGAATCCCCAACATGCGGTTCAGTCTAGGCAAAGACTGTAATTGGCTTGCTGATCTGCAGCCTGCATGTGACACACTCGTTCACTGTGTGGCCCGCACCTTTCATTGGCAACATTGCTGCCTACAAATTTGGGTCGTCAGGATTTAGCTTTGCTCCAACATTTTGTATGAATTGCCCAAGCCTGTCATATGCATTGTTCAGGCATGAGCACCGTACCGCTCTGCTTTCTTGCCGAGAATGAGAGTGAAAATCCAACTTGGCCTTTTCCGGGCTAGTTCTTGCATGAGTAGAATTAGAAATGCACTTCTGGCTAGCAGCGTGGGCAGTGGCTTGCGGAAATCTAAGAAATTGTCTCGTTTCGACTCTTGTTTCACGGCCGGGTCATGTGATGCACTGCTTTACGGATGGCGATTTGCCCAAGTCTTTGGCTCCTGACAAACGACTGATGTGCGTCCTGGACTGGCTTTCTCTTGTTGGGCAGCTGTAGGACTCGGTTCGGCAGTCCAGCTTGCCAGCTCAACGGTAAGGAGAACGCTCAGAAGTCGTTGCCGCACTCGTGCATCTAAAAGTTGTGTCGCATCTGCAAACGGGCTGCCATACCAGTACTTGACTGGTTGATCTCCCCCGCCTAAAAAGTCTCAATTTGTCCGCCATGAACCTGTTTGTCTGACGTAGCAGATGGTCTGCCATTCCATTTTTTGAGACCCCTTGCCACCGGCCCCGGAATCGGACTTCTGCTGACTGCATTTGTTGCCTAATGCACTTGCCCTCCTATTTGCCTATTTGTTGCAGATTTGTTGATTGGCTCCAATCGCCACCCTCTCCCCGGGGTCATGGGGATCACCCACTTGTTGTTAATACTTCAGAAACATGATTTGAATAATGGAAGCCCCCCCTAATTTGTCAAAACCCTTCGTGTGCGGCCTCAACTTTGGTGTGGTTCGTCTGTTAACCAGCGAGGCACTTCTACCGTTCTGCGTTGTAAGGATGCACTTTGTGCCGCTATCCTGGCGGTTCTCTTGGTGTTGTAGCTTTGTTTCTTTGTTTTGTGGCCGCTGAAGTTCGAGATCCCTCTTCATGAGCGGCTTTTGGGAGCGACACAAGTGCACCAACCCTTTGGAGGGGCTCCCCACGTTATGGAAACACTGATTGCCCTCCCCCAGGAAATCTAACTTGGATTACTCACACTTTCACAACCGAACGTTTCGAAACCATCGGCTGTCTAAATTGGGGGGATTCATTGAATGCCGTTGTTTCTCGATCCTGGATCCTCTCAGAAGCACGCCAGCTGCGCCAGCTCAAATGCGATCGTGGTTCCATGCGTGGCTGAATTACTGCCACAAAGCAAAAAAGATCTAGTAAAGTTGGCCGAGTCGCAGAACCTGAGTCCTGAGGCTTAGACAGCTCCTGTGGTTTCGAGTGGGTGGTCACGGAGGAGGAGTGCCCACCGACTCAGGAGGACTCAGCACTTTGGCTGCAAGGCTTCGCCACGCCGCAGGTGTTTGAAACAGATGGCTTTCGTGGGATCTCGCTTGAAATTATGCCACGCGAAAAGCATCGTTGATTATGAACCAGCGTCAACCTGTTGGTTGTGGGGCAATCTTTCCCTGCCTTAGAGTTCTTGGCTGCTCAGGCTGCCGGCGACGACCCAGTTCGCAGCCCAAGAACTCGTTTTTTGCACCAGGGCCTCAAGGTCAACACCATGCGCTAACGCCGAGTGTTAGCAGCGCAATGCTGGAAAAGAGCTGCCGGGGTGTTCGCACACGCATCGACTGTCCACGCCGGCAGGGGAAACCCAGTTAAATACCACACTGGACTTTACACAATGCCTTCCCTGCTCTCAGGCACTGTGCCCCACGGTGTTCTTATATAGACAGAAATCCCAAGCATCAATGCAATTGGATTGTGCCACTTGTTACGGGTGCCGAATCATGGCCGCGCAGCAATCTAAAATGCCTGATTTGCGAACCGATCACAAGCCACCAGGTGTGGTCGCCAATGTCAAGGTTCAGTTTAGGCACTGTGCTTGCGCTCTTTTTATTCAATGGATTGGAACAATTTGGGAGGATGAGCACTGCCATGAGCGCTTGTCACAATTGCTGCCGTTCAAAGTTGCTGTTCTTTTTATTCCAAGCTAAAGGCCAAACGCCAAGCAGCAAAACTGTTGGGCAACAAAGGAAATTTGGGCTTTGCGAAACATCCAAGTATTATTGGGGTCCAAGCATCTGATCTCTTGAGAACCACACATATCCGTCTTGAAACGACAGTGTGTTGAATCTCGGCTGGCAATACCCGAGGACTTGTTTATGTTTGAAGCGTCGCAGCCTGTTGGTTCCATATCTCGCCATTGCCTCAGGCCTCGAAGCCGCGCAAAGAGCGATGCAGCGTGGTATGAAAGTGGGCAGTGCGTCATTCATTCGCTAGCTTGGTACAGGATTTGCAAGGCTTTAGAAGAAATTGTCCAGAACCTTTGCCGCCAGTACACATATTCTTGGACAAGTGGCTTCTAATGACAATCATACGTCTGAGATGGCTTCAACATGCTTGAGATAGTTTCAAGCAGCTTATAATTCAGATTGCTTCACTTGTAGGCAGTGGATACATCGAGGTGTTTCCTCCTTCACGAATTTCTTATTGCTTTCCATGTCGCCTGTGCACTTGGTGCCTCCATGCTTGCAGTGTTGCACGTGAAACAAGCAAAACGAGCTTGCAAGCAAACCATGCTTGCAAGCAAACCATTAATTTTGTATGATTTGCGGGCATGTAAGCATACTGCATGATGGAAGGACGGATGCATGGATAGATGATGGACGGTTGACGCATGGTTGATTGATGCATGGATGATTACATGACATGAGTGCATACGTCCGGCACGACTCAAGTTCAATTCAAAGGAAATAATTGCAAAGGAATGAATTTGCAACACAAGGCGTGAAATGGAACTGAAGCAAGGAATGGATGAAGGAATGAAGAAGCTAACGACAATTTGAACGGACTGGAATTGGAATGGAATGGAATGACTGCACGCATGAACAAATGCACGAATGCACAAATGCAGGCACAAATGCACGGATGCAGAAAGGCATGAATGCACGAATGATTGAATGCAGGAATGCATGAGTGCGCGAATGCATGACAGGAGGACAGACTGAATGAATGAATGAATGAATGAATGAATGAATGAATGAATGAATGAGTGACTGAGTGACTGAGTGATTGAGTGACTGAGTGACTGAGTGACTGAGTGACTGAGTGACTGAGTGAGTGAGTGAGTGAGTGAGTGAGTGAGTGAGTGAGTGAGTGAATGAATTAATTAATGAGATACATGAATGAATGAATGAATGAATGAATGAAGGAAGGAAGGAAGGAATAAATTAATTAATGAATCAAGGAATGAACCAGCCGCAGCGCGAGCGCCATGGATGGAATTAAACAACATTTGTGAAATTGTATGAACTCGCAATTGTTCACGAAGGAGTGAAGAAGCAGTTCATCAAGAATGATATTCCACACATGTTTGCGTGATTGATGCACTGCTGTGTGAAGTAGTTACTGTATGCAGTGTTATATAATGACATGTTCTTGCTTGTTCTGTGATGTAATTATGTGTGTATCCATTGCTTTGTGTGCGTGTGTGTGTTTGTGTTGATGTGCTTGCGCATACAAATGCAATGTCATCCAGGCAAGGTTAAATATGTTAGACCAATGAATGTGCGTAATGTTATTAGTGTTTCCTTTGCTATTAAAGCCGTTATTGATTTTCTGGATCTTGTCCCCTCCTTTGTCACTTTTGTTTGTTTTATCTTTTCCGCATGTATGATATTTCCCTGCGTTTTGTGGTAGCATCTGTTTTTGTGTTGCGTAGCCCTCCCCTCCCCCTCCCCAGGCAATTCTGATATGTTGACCGGCTGGCCTGACAGACAAACTCACTTGCCTAGGTTCAGAGAGGCACTACGAAGTGGTGCTTATCATTGAGATGGAATATTGCTGCCAGACAGCACCCAGAGGGAGTTGGCTTGCAGGTGGTGGACCCTCCCCCCAATTTTGAAATTAACCGAGGGCGTCAATCTAAACCTCTCGAAAGGATCCCGTTGCTCCATCACTGGGACTGGCTTACGGATTTCCGCATAAAGATACATTTTGAGAAGGCCTGGCGCCTGCGTAAATGGTGGCAGCAACACACTAAAGGTTCCGATTCCAGCTCCCGGACAGATGTCCCCATCCCACAGACGACGGTCAACATGGTCAAAGTCAAAGTTGAAAGCGCCTGTACAGAGAAACGCTGGAAGGCGCTTGTAAGGCTGCAGCCAGTGCGAAGGATCACCCTTCAGCCACTAGCTGAATTAGGCGTTCTAGTGCTGGATCATGCCTGCATGCGTTGCCAACCAACTCAAAGAGTTCGACAACTGGCTTAATGTTGACGTTGGCTGAGGTTCGAAGGCTGTCCTCCCAATTTTCTTCTGAAATCCATCAGCTTTTCGCAGTAAAGATGTGCACTGTGCCCTTTCCTATTCGACTTGTCAAGCCGGGGGGGGCTTTAGGTGAGGTTTCCTGGTCGCCGCCTTTTCAATGAGCACGTTCAGCACATGGCAGGGCGTTTGCCTTTTTCAGCGCCGAGGCGATGGAGTCACTTTGGCGGATTGGCTGGCCTGCCCGAAGTTGCGACCGAAGCTTGTGAAGGGAGGAATGGCCGCTGCGCACCAGTTGTTTCATCAAATGATGCAAGGCCGGGCCAAAGGAAAGCGGAATAGCGGGGCTATGAGGGGCTGGTCCTACGCGGAAACAGTTCAAGCACCTTTGCTTTGCTCTGGTTGCTTTCGCGCCGGAAACACTTCAAGCACTGGAAAGCTCTGCTTTGGCTGCTTGGCGCCCGGTTCTGCTCACGCGGCAAGGTTCAGGCTCGAAACGCCTTTGCCTGGAATGTGGAGGACCTCAGGATGAGGCTTTTCAGCAAAAGGACCCGGGGTATACTAAGCAAAAGGACTTTCCGTTGCCCCGTTTCACGGAGATTCGACGGCGCGCGTGAGAACACACCAGATGCAAGGGGAACTCAGTCATTTGTACGGCCAAAAGTTGAACTTGTCATCCATGGATGGCACTCACCCAACTCCCATGCCAATTGAAGAGGCACAACACCGGCATGCTGTTGCATGGCTCATGGCCAACGATTCAAGTAAAAAAAGGTGGCAGTGACCAGACATGCGAGAGCAATCCCTGGCAGGCATTTTCGATCTCCATGAAGCCTCTTGGATGGAATGTGGCGCTTTAGCTGCGACACCCCAGAAGATCTGAATGCAAACCTTGGTGATTAGTTCACCTGTTTTTGTAGTAAGGCGTAGCTCTAGCATGTGTTTAACATGTCTAGTGCATATCTAGCTACTCTGTCCGTTTCTTTACCAGGGTAGGCTTGTTTCTACGTACGTAGTATATTGTACGTCGAGCTCTTTGCAAGCACATGCCTAGCATATGTCTACTAAGTCTAGTATACATTGCGCATTTGGGTACTTAACATCGTCTAGAACATGTCTAGACGTCTCGGCATGTGCATACCATGTTTACAGCACAGTCTAAATTCAATTTATATTTGATTCTGTCTATGGATGATGTGTATGCTTTGCATAGGCGTTGCATCTTGCTATCATATGTCTAACATGTGTCTAGAGTCTAGCGTATATCTGGCACGCGCGTAGTTTATGTAGTTTGATTCTCTTCCCAGATATGTTCAGCTTATTTCCAAACCAAGCCTACCGTGTCTCAAGCAAGGTTCTAAAACAGTTCCAGCTTATATTGCATGTGTTCTATCACTTGTCAGCTATTCGACTTGTCTAGCCTGCAATACGCCGAGCACTTGTTTTAGCCCATGTGTGGTATGTTCTCATATGATTCTAATATAGCGCTAGTGTCATGCATTTGTCATAAGATGTCTAGCGCATGTCTAGACTTTTCAGTACACTTCTAGCTATGTTTCTTGAGTCCGACATCTCAGACCCCATGTATCCATATTGGCTGACTTAGGATCTGAGATGTTGGTGTTGTCTTGAAAACTCGAGTTTGTTTTCTTGTTATTGTTGTTCACAAGTTTCCGACAACCGCAAAAAACCTTGAGTTTTCCAGACAAGGAACAAAAACATACCCTACGTATCCATGTTCGCTGACGTAGGGTCTGACATTTAGTGTTTTTCTGGAAACTCACGGTTTTTCACACTTTTCCAAAAGCATGCAAAACAACCTCGAGTTGTCCAGGAAAACAACAAGCATCAGACGCTGTGCATCCATGTTGGCTGACATAGGGTCTGATATTGTTGGAACACGCGTGGTTTTTAACACTTTTCAAAACAAAAAGCAAACACCTTGAGGTTGCCAAAAAGCAGACACTGTTTATCTATGTTGGCTGTCTTAGGGCCAGAAGATCAGGACAACTCGATATTTTTGGGTGTTCTCTATGAAATTGCTAACCCAACGCACACTTGTACGGCCAACAAATACCAATCTTCCCCCATGACAGGCCCTTCTGTAGTTCTTTTCAATCATGTGTTGGTCATGTTTGACAGACAGGTGGTCCTTCTTTGGATCAGACAGCCATACACGATTGCCATTGCAACTAAGGCTGGAATCGTGCATTGGGACATTAAACCGGCCAACATTCTCATTTCCAAGGCGGGTTTGCATGCCGGCCTTGTGCATACTTGTGCCTTTGCTTGGCGTGGCACATCCACAAAAGCAATGACCGATGGAGTTTTTGGCAGGAATCCGGGCAGATCAAGATATTCGACTTTGGCTTGGCCAAACTTCGCTCCGTCGAGCACCAGAAGTCAGCAGCACATCCGTCAGATCCAAACAAATCAAGTTCACTCACAGCAATCGGCACCCCAGGATACGCACCCCCAGAGCATTGCGTCCAGCTGTGCCTTGGTCTGCAGGTCAACGTGTTGTTGCTTTCAGTTGGCACAGCTGTTCCCCGCTTGCTTTGGTTGCAGAAATCAACGACAGCTGCATGCTAGTGCCAACCTGACGGTGGGTTCAGACACTACAGGCCAACGCCCCGGTGAAAGACACGGGGTCTTTGCACTGATGGTGTGTTTCGCATCTGAGGCCTCCGAGCAAAAAGCAGGCTGGACAATTCATTCTACCCCCATCATGCCCCAAGTCTGACATCTTCTCAGCCGGCATCGTCCTGGTTGAGCTGCTCATGGCGGGAGTGGCAGGCCCTGGTCTTTGTGTGCGGGGTGGCGACCAAGAGCTTTTGTAATCAAGGGGGACAGTGGGTCTGGAGTCAAATGAGTTTGCCCCCTTTGCTGTGAGCTGATGCATGTGTTCAGAGGTTGTTGGATACGGTATATTGTATACCGCTACATGTGTTTAGGCCGATCGCATAAAGCAGCCTGCAATTGGAGGTAAATCTACAAGGTGCATCTACATGCATGAGCTTGCTGGGCAGACAAATATTGGCCTATTTTGGCACCTTGCCATACCATCATGAGGTGTATTTGGACGTGGCCGTTGCATGCTGCCAGATGCTTGCTCATTGTTTGGAATGACAGTCCATAGGAGGCTGGGGCTTGGGAGTGTTGGAATCTCAAATGTTGAAGACACATATTGTTTGACCCATGATCTCAACATTGTATTTGTTGTTTTGCACCAGCGCCCCACAATCCAGCGCTGTTCCAGAAAGCAAGTCTGAGAGTTGGCACACGCCTTTCTTCAGGGAGCAGCTGGATCGAAGAAAACGTGCAATATTGACCAAAAACGTTGGGTTGACATTCTGAACCATTCAACAAGCGTGCACGGTCATGAACCAACGAAGAACCGAAGTCCAAGCATTCACGCAACAAGGCACATGACACTATTGGCTGTTGCATGGGTGCCATCTAGACAAGGATAATGACATGTGTGCAAATCAAAGCGTCATTTGACATAGAGCAACACCTGTTTCAGTGGATATCAATATCACTACCATGTTTGCACATATCAGAGCAGCGGCAAATGCAGTTCCAGACTTTCATGTGACGCATATGATATTCACAAGCTCATCGGTACACACATGTTATATTGAGGCGTGCATATAAATGAAACGTGTAGACCTCAGATGCAAGCCACCGCTTGAGATTTGACAAATCTACCCAGAAATTGGTTTGCAGCCAAACTAAACCCGCGTTGACTCGAGAAGTTTGCATTTTAGCTCGTCTTGCCGTCTTGCTGCACCTCTTGCTGCGCCAAGCATAGAGGTACATGCATGGGCATATGTTTATATGTAGCATATACATATGACACAACCACTCAAGTGACACTGGGGCATTCCTTCGGCTGCCCGGGCTTCTCTGGCACAATGGGCCATTCTGTGCGCGATTGTCGCCCGATATTCAGAATCGTTTCTGTTCGATGTGCCCAATGCCCCTCCTTTTCCTGCGGTGTTCTGCGTATTTGTTTTGGGGAGCCGCAGGTGAGAGGCAGCCCTGGAACACGTCCATGGAGCGCGTCTCGGTCTTGGGCGCCCTGCGGGATGGGCGCGACGCCTCACTCCCCTTGGCGCTGTTGCAGAACCGGGGCGTGGGCGCCTGGCGCCTTGCCAAGAAAGAACAGTCCCCTGCTTTTCTGTGGCTTCAAGAGGCAGAGATATGACGTATTTAGCTAATCTGGCAGGCAAGCACCCTGAAGGGCCAATGACCAACACCCCCCATCAAGAACTACAAGTAAATCATGTGTCCGACAACCAAGGCACCTTTGCGTTTAGCGAGGTAGAAAGCTCGAATGAAAGAAGCCAAGCCCCCTGCCTGTAAACACTGGGAAAGAATGGCTCTGAAATTGAGAAAGCGGGCGCGAGAACTAAAGTAGGCTTTTTGAATGTTGGCTTAGGGCAGTGAAGACAGAGCAGTACCAACGAACTTAAACAGAGATGAACTCTACAGGTTCTTAGCAACTCCTAATTAGATTCAAAGACTTGGCGACTTTGAATGAACGCATTAAGCACACTTTTAAGACCAACATAGGAGCCGGTTCATCCCATGAGCTTACAGTCGGCGGTGGCTTATTGCTTGACCCCAAAGCCCAATTAAGTGACCTTTCTGGCCGTGCGTCTGTGATCTTTGACCCAAACCGGCAAACATAAACAGCTTGGTTGCCCAGTGACCGTAGCCACAAAGCGGGGGGGCCCCTTGTCTAGATATTATTGATAAGGATAGAAGCAAATAATCAGGATGAGGACAAACTCGCGCAAGTGCATGCTGTCTATGCAGCATGTTCACGATGGGATACTTTGAGCAAATCACATCCCCCAGAAGTTTTTGTGGGGTACGCCGGGAGGGCAGAACAACTAGACAACCCCAACAGAAAGTCCTATCCCCCGAACTTTTCGCCATTGGCTTCCCGATGCAAACACAGATGATATCCTTCACTCTATGCGCTTCCCTTGGCAATTGGAAAGAGACCAAACAAAAGTTTGCAACCCCTCATGGAGACCCCTCATGAAAGTCACACCCGACTCCTTTCCCAACAGGTACGGGCTTCCTTTTTTGCATTTTCTCCATGCACTCTCATGGGCCACATAAAGCACATAGAAGTTGAACCTCGTAGCTTGATGTTGGGGGGGATATGATATCAACCCTTCTCCACCCCAAAATAAAGTTGAAGGCATGCTCCAGAATCGGGAGCGCGCCGTCCAAGACTCTGTCGGGCTTGTAACTCCGGGCTTTCCTATAGGATTCTTTCAAGTTTTAGCATGGACTGAGCATCCGTTTCTATCTTTGCGCGCGGCAGGATGCGGCAGCTGGTCTTTCGCATGGTGAATTGGGACGCCGACGCCAGGCCATCAGCACAGGAGGTGCCAAGTGTTCGGGAGATCCGCCAAGTTCCCCCTTTTAAAGGATTGCCAAGTGGCCTCCATCGCTTTGTTTGAAGAGGTTAAAAAGTGCAGTGCGCACTCGGTAGGCGTCAGCAGGGAAATGGTTGAAGGGCTGCGCGGAGGGGAGATGGGCCAGTCTTGTGCCCAGTCCCTTGCCCTAAAGTGCAGTTTGTCTCTCCTCCAACCAGACGCTTGGAATCACAAATAGCAAGAATCCTTAGATCTCAATCCTGTTGCACTTTGGCAGCGGCATGTGCATGGTTGCGCTGTTTACCAGTGACAGTTCTACATAACACTGCCGACATTCTCTTCTGGCAGTCTTTTCGCATGCTTGACTGTGACTGGATCGCGGAAGTGTGCTACCCCAAAGTTCTGAGTGACACATAAATGGGGCCTCACAGGAGGGTCGCTTGAAGCTCCCAAGCCTTTTGCTTTGAGCTTGAAAGAGACCAGGCAGGGTGCATGCGGCCATTTTGCCGCGAAAAGCGAGTCTTCGTAGCTGAAGCAAGGGACTCGCCGAATGAAGGTTTGCGCTGGTTGCCCTGAGGTTGCCCTTTATGGATTGAGACATGCTGAGGGGTCAATTGGGTAAGTGAAGAGGATCGGAATGCACACGGCGCAAAACAGAGACCCAAGTTCTCCGACTGGTTTCCAGGCACCGTACCTTTGAGCCGAGACGCCCCTCAGGTGCTGGATGAGCTGGATGCCGCCACATGGGCCAGTTCTCGTCACAATCCCTACCTGGGGACACAGAATTCACGGTCTCCCCAGTTTGCAGCGATGCTCACCCACCTGTCGGCGGCACACAATCCATATATCGGATTCTTCTTGGACCATCGCCCCGTGTAGCCTCTTGTGCTTGCCTGAGGGCGTTGTGCCATGGGGTGTCGCACGCGCGGTGCAGTCTCACTACGCGCGCCACGCGCGTCCACAGCAGCTGGGATCGATCTTCCCCCAGCTGATCCCAAATGGCATTGTGTGCTCCTAAGATGTCAGCTGAAAGGCTTTGAGAAAGTTGTCCCTTGATCGGCAAGAGCTCGCAACGGGACCTCACCGCTGATCGAGATTTGAGATTCGTCTGATCGCGCTGCACCATGCTTTAGAGATAAAGCTGAGGAATTTAAATGTCCTCAGCAATTTCGATGGCGTCCTGATGGTTCAACAAGTTAATTATTACCACAAGAGTTGCCCTGTGTTTTGAACATCGATGCTCACGACCAAACCAAGGGCAATCCAAGTCGTTGATCGACCATGGGACACCTCCAATTGCCGTCCTCGGCCCAAACAGGGGTTCATTTGGCCCTCGGACCTTTTGTGACCAGTTTTCTCATTTTATTTCTATTTTGTCGGAATTGTAGCAAGAGGTCTTGCGCAGCCACCCCATGTGGGAGTCCCTTTCAAGGAGATTTAGGAGATGGAGCAAGCTTGGAGTTTAGAGTTTCCCACAGCAGATGGCTGCTTTTCCACGTGGCAGATGGTCCACCTGTCTTTCGGCAAGCTTCTAACATCGACCTCTCCTGTCGGCCAGGGAGCGGAAGATGCAACTTTCGGCTCGGCTGGGATGAACCAGGGGCTTTCATGTCATTTCGACTCTACTGATACGGCTCTTGGTTCATCCCAGGCTAGCCAGAATCAATTCCATGTCCCATCCGGAACTCCGAAGGCTTTTCAGGAGGCGAGAACAGCAGCGTTGCCAGGCAACCCCCGTGATTACACGAGGCGCTTGCCACTTGAAAGTGACATGGTGTTGCCAACTAGCTGACGGAAGTTCAAGGCAGCACATGTCATGACTGCGAGGCAGGGTGCAAGCAATCATTGGCTCTGCGAATCGACGCGTTCGCCTGAAGCGTGATAATGCTGTTGCAAGAAGGCTTGGAGCCAGCTTTTAATCACTTGCTGGTGCTTGTTTTCCATAGTTGTATATACCCACCCTGCCACACTTAGGTTTAAAATCGATAAAATTCGCTCCTGAGATGCCTGCAGTTGTCCTCTACGCAGTAGCAGCTGCCGCCCACGAATGAACAAGCGACTCGCTCATTGTCGGATTCAGCATCATGGAACAACCGCCATCGCTATATAGGAACCGTTTTGGGACCCTTTTGGGCTCCATGTCAATTTGCAGGGAGTGGGGGATCAGTGAACGGATGTGCGGAAAGTTTTCGGTAGCAGGCAGTATACAATGGTCTTCAAAGACAATTCAATGTTCGGTCAGCATTTGGAGTCAAGATCAAGTGACTGTTCAGGGTTTGTAGGACAAGATCCTAGATGTTGATGCTTTGCTTTGGGAAATGATGGCTGAGACTCAGTTTCCCCCAGCCCAAGTGGTGGTTTGGGACCCAACTTTTCCGAGGGCAATCAGATTTCAGCTTTCAATGCGATGCTAGCACTGCAGGTTCAAGCCCCCCACAAGTCCAAGTCATGAACTGGTGGCTGAAAACCTCAGAAACCGCGGTATGGTGTTCAATGCCTGCTTCTAACTCGGGCCTGTCCAAGTCTAAGAGAAGTCCACCGCTGAGTATCTCGAATATTCCGAGTGTAGGGAACGAGGAGCACAATATCATTTGCACAATCTCGCAATTCAGTTACATTTCACGCTGCACTCGCAGATGGACGGCAGGAGCGGATGGAAGCGTCACCAGGCGCCACGCAAAAAGAAACAACAGAAGCACCTGTCGGAAGCCTTTTCTATAGGAGACACTCAGTCCTTTGTTTGAAAGGTGTTTCTTGCTCGAGGCCGTGTGTCCTTTGTCCTGGTGCCTGACTGGGAACCCTCGCATGTGCCGCTTGGATCTGGATCCACGGCGTCGGCTGAATGGGCGACCAAGAACCAGGGCGCAAGGGTGGCCAGCTGCAAGAGACAACTGCCTCGTTTTTTAAGAACGCTCCGGTGACCTTCCATTCAAAGGTTTCACCTCGTTGCGGCGAGAGCCTCTGGCACTCCAATTCGAGCTGCAGCTCAGACTCCGCAAGGCCAAGATCCGAACTTTGGGCTGCAGCAGACACCCCACCGGACGTGATGCCATGGGTTGGGCAATATTTTCTGATACCCTGGATTGATGGCCTCGGTTGACAGACGAGGGTTCAAGAAAAGACCAGCTTCCCAAGAGCTTCCTCACTGATCAACCAGGGCTTCTGGGTGCCCCACCGTGTGGGGCTACCGCGTTTACTTTCCCCTTGGACGCCTCAAAACCTCGCGATCATGGAATCGCAGTGCGAGCAGATGGCAGGTGCACCATAGCCACTCACAGGGCTATCGGAGACCTGCAAACCGAGTCTCCCTTTGAAGCTTTTTGGGGGCACGCCACACGGATGCCAAATGCTACTCGAGCTGTCCTTCTCCGTTCGCGGAGGGTCGCAATAGCAGTGTGTGTGTGCTGCAGATGTCGGCGAATGCCGAACTGGCACAAATACGGACCTAGGCTTCGCACAACAAATGCAGCACGCAGGTATACATGTCCCTTGTTTAGCGCCCCATGCATGACTAGACAAGGACGTTCATGCGTGGTAGGCGCCAGCCGCACCAGACTTGGAGATCAGCTTTGGCCAGTGCTCGGATTGGTTGGCTTTTGGGGCTTTTGGGAAGGGGCTTTGTTCCCGCTAAGAAACGCCGTCCAATACAAAAAGTGATGTAGCTGCTTGGATGGCTCTACCCAAAGCCGCACTGGGGCCATTGCTGCACATAGAGGCCGGCTCGAGATGCTGCAGCCGCCCAAGAGGTCGGGCTGCTTGATTGCGCCAACAGCGCTGAACCTGAAAAACTGGACGGGGGGGATGGTGAAGTTTCGCTGGGCCAGATTGGTTTGCCAAAGGCATGTGTGCGGCTTTGTACCTTTGAAACGAAATGCTGACAATGGAGGCCTGTTTCAGATAACCCTTGTTGTATGCTTGTACACACGCGCAGTGTCCCGGCGAAATGGTCATCATGGTTTATCACCTGGCTCAAAGATGATGCGTTGATTGTTTCCAGTGTCCTCGGAGCTCACATTTGGGCGGTGAGTATGATCCTTTGGCCCAGAGGTTGGTGCACATGTCTCTTGGATTCACCGCATGAGTTCCCTTGGAAAACGAGGCCACGTGAAGCAATGTGCTACGGAAAGACGACAGCCTGTGTTGTTTAGGTCTTTCAGCACGACTTGAGCAGCTGGTGAAACACCCGACTCCAAAAAGTCAAGAGCTTGCATCCCTGGATGATTTGTGCTCAGCTTGGCCGACCTTACCCGGAGAGGCTTCGCCGCGAAGGCCAAATTGTGAAGGCAGTGGCCACGACCTCGCAGACTTTAGATGCCATACTCATATTGTGGGTGAAAACATAGGTACACAAAATGGAAACCTGGCAAATGGAAACGGAGACTAAACCCTGCGTTTTGTTTTTTTTTGTGGTGGTTGAATTTTGACCCATAGCAATATATCACACGTTTTCCTGTCGGCCTGAAGCACCTGCTGCTGGCCCGGCTCAGTTCCCCGGTTTCGCGCTTCAGCTTCAGTGTGTCTTCTAGACGTCACGCCGGAGACCTCGGAGAATCCTAGGAGCAGTCGATTCGCAGGTTGGGAACATGCCCAAGATTGAGGACTGCTTTCGGCCAGGTGCCAGAAAAACGACCGGAGAAACAAGCAATTTGAATGATCCTCTCAATGTTCTCCGATTTTGTCCGGCGTGTTGACGTCCTTGGATAGAACATGGCAGGCGTCAGCTGCAGCCTTTCCTGCTGGGAAATACTGAACCATGCGAACTCAGCTTAGACGGCTTGGCTCCCTTTTCAAATTGGCCTCACACATCCTCCAGGTTAAAGACATCAACTTGCAGCTTGGGGAGCTACACTGAAAGGAACAGATATCAGGCCCACGTTGGTGGAAGATTCGCTGGGATTCGTTGGTGACGATTAGAGACCCGTTTGTGAGAGCCACGCCAGCCTCAACTCGTTGGGTCAGCTTACTACGATTCAGTTGTGCCATGCAGTCGGTGGACCGTGATTGAAGCCAGAGGCATATCCTGGGCCCCTTTTGCAGAAAGAAAAATATCAACCACCTGGATTGTCAGAGAATTGGCCCCTACCTCCAGCTGTTTTTGTGGGCTTTGCGCACACAAGTTCAATTTCGGAGGGCCATCCCATTAAGCCTGACCCAGGGCAGCGTTTGGGGGGCACGTGTGTGCGACCTCGCGTGTGGGGTCTTCACAACGGCTGGTCGCGTTGCACAGGCTCCATCTCAAAAAGTGATTCCATGTACCTGTAGAGAAAGGCAGCGCAGTTCAAGGGAACTTTAGCCACTAAAAAGGAAATGGGGAAACTGGTGACTGCATTTGCCGGGGGGTGATCTCCAACCCGCCCTGGTTCAGGCTGAAGTGCGCTTCACCCAGATTCGTGGGGTTCATCCTGGCAGCAAACTTGCCGTTTGGTACCCACTTAGGGATTGAGGTCACTCCATCCCACGTGCTATTGGACCTGCAAGAAGGTCTTCAAGTTTGCATAGGTTCCGATACCATCGTGTGGAGTCACCACATTCCAAGTGGAAGCTCCCTCGTTTGTGACGTATCGCTCTGGGTCCTGAGGCGATGAAGCGCCCAGCAGCCACCACACCGCATCCACCACCAAAGAGGAGAGCGGCACCAGTCAAGCCACATCCGATTGCCGATTGCCAGGGCCACAAAGGAATGAGGCTGCAGTTTGTGAGAGATGCTGGTCGGAAAGTTGGTGAGGGAAGACTCTTTGATTTCTTTCCCGTCCGTGTGGCCATGGGCCAAAACCCCGTACCCCCGGTGGACATCCCAATCCCCACTAAAATCGACGAAAATGGGTGGTGAATTCACCTACCCCAAAGTGGGATCTCATTGGTTTTGACCCACAGCCATATCTTTCTTCCACAGCACGCCACCAGCCACAGCTGGACAGCCCAGCCTTCGGGCCATGTGGCGGGTGATGGCGGGTGCTAAATCCTCGTGTGGCCTAAAAACCGTATGCACGCGCGCGCTCGGCATTCCATCTATTGATCTATCTCTTTGAATCTTTGTATTTGTACGGCTTTGAACCTTTAGCTTCCGGCGGATTATAATCCGCGGTGTGGCAGCCAAGTGTGGCAACCAGGCGCAAAGCCGTCGCAAAGCCAAAGCCTGCGCCCAAGCCGAAGCCTGCGCCGAAGCCTGCGCCGAAGCCTGCGCCGAAGCCTGCAC